CTGTGGAGGGTGGCGGAGGCCTCCCGTCCCTGCCCAGGCCATGCGGCCGGGCGGGGATGGGGCCGGGCCTGCCCCGTCTCCCGGCCGGGAGATGGGGGGGCCTGGGGAAGGTTTTCCTTGGGCCCGGGCCGGGCTGAGCCGATCTCTGGCTCGGCTGCAGGTTTTGCTGTAACTACATTCACTAGAAACTGCCCAGTGAAGAAAGAGAGAGGCCCTGGACTTGCAGCGGGTTGGAGCAGCGACTACACGCTCCAGAGCAGCCATGAGGAACTTTCCATCACAGACGGCTCCAGCTCCTGTTCGGCAGAGATCCTCGAACCATCTACAAAAGCCTGGGCAAGATGTTAACTCTTTCATTACCCAGATGAGACTTGCGGATTAATCTTTTTATCCAGAGAGAGAAAAAGAGAGTGATCAACATGAAAAGAGACTTTATGAACTACCAGTGACAGGAAAGAAAAGAAGCTTCAGGAAAGGTAGAGAATTAAGAAGATGCTTTAATTAAGCTGAAATATCTTTCTGTTAAAACTATGGAGATGGACAATGAAGTCCTGAAAAGAACTCCTTTAATTCATGATACAGTATCTAGAGAGGAATAAAGTGTTCAAAGTGTAAATTTGAGTAAAAAGTAGAGTAATTATGGTATAGTGAAGTGCTGGGAGATTTGAAGCCTTGAGAGGCAATGAGAAAACTGTTTTCTGGTGAAGCTCACAGAAACAGATGAAGAAGACTTTTTTTGCCTTTGAATAACTTATCCTTAAAAATGCTATCTCTAGACTCATGGCCCATACATACTTCAGAGTGATGTGAAAATGGAAGGAGTGGGCTCTGATAACAGCAACTCTGGGCAGCTAACATTAGGGCAATGGAAAACTATAACAAAAATAGTTTTCTTGCGAGAAACTCCATAAATTAACAAGAAGAAACTTCTGTTTCTCTACAAAGACTGGTGAAAAGACTGTAGCAAGAATTGGGACTGTTTTAACCATCAAAGTTCCAAAGTTTTTGTCTCTGTTGTCATGTGAACAAGGGAATAGTGGGTAGATAGGGGATGGAAAGGTTTTTCTGGAAGTTTGTTCTGGTGTTATTATTGTGGTTTGTCAATAAACTTTCTTTTTTTTTTTTACCTTTTAAGTTTTATGCCTGTTTTGCTCTTGTTCTAATCTATATCTCACAGCAAGAAATAAGTAATTTTCTTAGTTATTAGTTTAAAACCACGACATTGGGTCAAAATTTAGTGTTGCTGGATGTGTGTATTCACATGGTTTTTTTTACTCAAGCATTGTTACTAACAATTTTATTCTATCATTCTCTTCCAGTAACAGTTTCATGTGATATATTTTAATGGATGGTACCTTTACTCAGGTTTTATTTTATGGAATAATGCATTTAAACATGAAGTGCTGCTGCTGTGCATGTGGCACTGACATCTAACACAGTTCTGGTACACAGCAGCCAAAGGCAAATACATTCACTTTTATGAATGATGATGAATAAAGCAGATCTCTCTTTCCTGGCTGCACTGAGCCTGTGGAGATGTGTAACTGATGTTTGCCTGTTGCAGCTGTAGTTCTGGGCAGCATCTGCTCAGGATTCTGGATAGGGCTTTAGGCTGACACAGGGTTATATATAGGAGTTCCTTACATCACTTGCTGTATTGCTATGAAAAGATGTATAGAACTGCTTTAATGGATGATGCTTCTGGGGCCTGAATCAAAGTTACTGAAAAAGATGTTTGGTAATCCCCAGCAAATTGAATTTCCTTTGTTAAGGCAAATGAATAGATGAAGATGCTGATTCTTTCTACATAAACGTTTTCCAATCCCACATGGCTTCTCCCAAGTTCTGTAACAGGACTGCTAAATTGTATAAAACCACCTACAGCGCTGCTTTGCCACTTACAAAGCTGACTTTATCACATAAATTCCAGGATTTAGCAGCGCTGAACATGTTGCTGTAGCTTAGTCCTCAGACCCCCAGGGACCATAGCAAGCTGCAGAGATGTGAATCCCAGCACCAGAGTGACCTGTGGGATAGAAGTGAAGGCGCACAAGGATGCACACGAAGGAAAAATTCAGTTGTTGTATTATTCCCTGGATCATCACCAATTTGGGAAAAATTTTTGGTGTTGCCTTGTGAAGAACTCCTTGTGATGCTTTCTCACCTGCTACTCAAACTTGGCAAGCTGCAGTCTGACAGTGGGAGATGTTGCTGGGGATGCCCCAGTGCTGCTGGAGGGACTGGCAGTGGGAAGGGGATGAAAGCCCTGTTTATCACCTGTCCCACTTGTGACCTAACCCAACCTCCAGGGCTTATTTTAGTAACTTGATCCCTGCTCTGGTCTTGTGGTTCCTCGATAGAGCTGGTTTTTATATGTTCTGCTCAAACTCACTAAGCTGGTTACAACATGTTGGTCATTGTGACTGGGATGAAATGTAGCAGGAGTTTGAATCTTATTGGTTTCAGCATCACTTTGTGGAGATAAAGGGCAAGTAATGGCAAGAATTTTTGGAGGGTAAAAAAAAAGTTTTCTGGTTAGAAAATATAATCCTATATTCCTGAGATGCAATTCTTGCTGCTAACACAAAACAGAATTTTAAATGACCAGCATTAACAAAACTGGCCTCTTTTGTTTTTTCCCTTTGAAAACTAATTTGAGGATATTTTCAATCCAGCACACTTTCCATCCTAATTTTTGTATAATATAACATTGCAGAGCCAAGGAATCAAAGATGCGGCCAATTCATTGGGAAATTAGATAAGAATTCAAAGGAAAATTAAAGAAAGAACCAGAATTGCTTCAACTCTTCTAGAGTTTGTATTGGAAACAAATTAATTTCAGATGCAGTGAGATTCTGTTCTGTATAGGCAGCAAAAGATGAGGTATTTAAAAAGAAAAAATGGAGGTTTTCTGCTACTTGAGTGGTAATTGAGCGCCTAGATAATGTTTTTGGAATGAAAAAAAATTAGAGCCTTATGAAACTCACTGCAAACATTGTGCAAAGGAAAGTTTCAATGACATTTCTTTCTTCATTTACCCATTCACAATTTTAAAAGAAAGTGATAGACTGAATCAAGCCCCAGCTGACCACTGGGACTGTAGTGAGTTTCAGTAGTTTGGATAACCAACTGTAGGAAAGAAAAGTTGTTAATTCCTCTTTCTGTTCAATGATCTTCCTATTTACATATTGCTAGAAACGTGTTAAACTGACTGTACAAAAGGAAATTATTTAGTTAATTAAAATAGCTTGATGAATGCTTCAGGCTTTCAAGTCCCTCCTAATGAAATTGGATCTTTTAACCTTAGGGAACGTCCTTTTCCTTAGCTCCATGCAGGGAGCTGGTGCCTGGCAGGGTGCCTCAGAGCCCTGCAGCCACAGGCTTCCCCCTGTTTCCCAAAGAGCCTTTTCCTGCTCACCAATACTCAGCATTCAGCATTAAGGCAAATTTGGCCAATTTGGTCTCTGGCTGGAGAGGAAGGAGCAGCTTGTTTTGGCCAGTTGGCCCAGGGAGAGCTGCAGTGGGGTTCATCCAACAGCAGACTGGGAGATTTCTCTTCCCTTGCTCTGATTCCCCAGTGAAGCACAGGACCTTTCCCTTTCCCTTTCCCTTTCCCTTTCCCTTTCCCTTTCCCTTTCCCTTTCCCTTTCCCTCTTCCTTTCCTCTCAGCTGGTAGGATTTTTCCCACCTCCTGATGTGTCTGATTCACGATGGCTGATGCACAGTCATGTGGGTTACAGCTTTTATCATCACTTCTGTTAGAAACTCCCCAGGTCTAGGGGATTAAAACTTGAAAAGGAGGAAGTCTTAAAATTGGTTTTAATGGGTTTAAAAACAGAATTCAGTGGGTCAGAGCAAGGGAATAAAGGTAAGAGAGTTTGCTGAGGTGTCCATCAGTGCCTTTTCTAGGTGTGCCTGCTTTTGATTTTTATTTGCTAAAACATTTTTGGAAACCTTGCTCTGTGGATGGTCATGATGACAGATACCAGAGATGTGCCTTACACCTGCAGTATCCTTAATTAATAATCATGTGCATAAATAGCTGGGAGAAGGATCTGTCTGGGTATTGCAGCCTCCCTGCTATGCAGGGTATTTACTCCCCCACCAGACTCCCTTCTGCTCACAAAAGCAGCTGAAGGGCAGTGATCCAAAAGGGAGAACTCCACCATAGCACCTTATCTCTTCCTTTGCACTGGGTTAGCAATTACCACTCACCTCTGCCTTGTTGTATTTGTCTGCCCTTACTGCCCAGACCTTTCAGTTTTAACTCAGATCCACACCTATTGAAAGACAGGGCAGAAATTTTATCCCCAGCACAATCTTCTGCATCCCACTGCATAAGGGCTTTTTCTTTTCCACTTTTCTTTTTAATTGGAGATGGAATTCTAATTGAAACATTTTGAGTGAAAACATTCCTGGACATAAATGGACAGCAAAGAAGGCAGAAATGGAATTGCTGTAACTTTAATGAATATATTCAGTTTTATTAGTTCAAAAGTAGTACCATAATTGCTTTTTCCATTCAGTGGCTGAAGAAGTTTTCACCAATAATAAATAGGTTTTTAATGGAAATGGTAGAAGTGGTTATGGACAGTAATAACCACTACAGTGTTTGCAGTTTTCAAATTAAGTCCACATAATTGCTCATAAAAAGAAAATTTCATTTGTTAAAAATCTCTGGAAACATATTGAATGTGTAATGGTAGAAATGCTGGTTCCATAGGAATTATTTTCCTGTCATATTTAATAATCAGGATCTAGTCAAGTATTTAAATGCGTTGCATAAACAAACACTATATTTGGAAAACATACAAAAGCGTGTTGAAAAAGTATGCTTGAAAATATTAGTGACTGCATTTCTTAGACTTAGCAATCGCATCCCTATTATCCAAACAGCCTTCCCAATTAATTGCTTTTTTAACAGATTTCAGCGCTGGGAAATGAACTAGGAATGCCGATAAATTACAAAATCTGTCTTTCTTTCTTTCTCTTTCTCTCTGGCTGCATCTCTGCTGGGCTGTGTGCTGTCTGTCCTAGGCCAGATGGTGCGAGGGCGCTCGGTGGTGCTGCGGGCAGCGGGCGAGGGCAGGCCCTGCCCGGAGCAGCTCAGCCAGCACAGGAGCTGCCCGGTGAAGCCCTGCTACAGCTGGCTGCTGGGGCCCTGGTCTCCCTGCACCGTCCAGGTAGGGCTTTCCAGCGCTCTCCACAGCTTCCCCGTGCCTGGGGTCAGCGGAAAAATCCGCCATCACATTGTGGGATTAATTGCTGGTCGTGGGCTCAAGGTGTCTCTGCGGCTGGTGAAGGTCTGTAGGAAGAGGGGAAGTTCAGGGGTGGTGAACACCTGCCCCTCATTCATAGGGAGTGATACGGGTTCAAGTACTGTGAGCTCATGTAGGGGATTTGTGGAGTGAATGTGTTTCACTGGGCATAGTCATGGTGACCTATAATTTAATTACATGAAATATCTCTAACAAGAAGATAGATACACTGGATACCAAGGCAGCTTAGCTTTTTTTTTTAGCTTTCTTTTTTTTTTTTAGCTTTTTTTGTTAAGGACTGTATAGCAGGTCTCCCTTCCCGGGTCTCTGGTACAATAGTGTGAGGTATTGTATGAAGTGCTGGTGTCTACTTTCTCCTTACCCTGGCTCTGTTTTTAATCATCTAAAAATGTCTGGATTCAGTTCCCATGTGCTGTCCCTACACCTGCCACCTCTGCTCAGCACTGGAGCCATCATTTTTTCACCAGCAGTGACTTCCATCAAGCTTGAATTGACTTTTTCCTTCGCCTCCGTGCTTTTTCTTCTCTCATCTGTTAGATCACATTTCCAATATTAAAACGTATTAGTTGGTAACCCAGTTTAAGCAGAGGTGAATGTTTCACAGTGACACTTATCAGCCTGCTTAAATCTGGCTTCAGTGAGATGGAGGTAGGAGAAGTGTGGTGGAAACGAGCCCTGTCTGGTCCCAGGGGACAAGACCTGTGCCAGATCTGTGGCTGCTTCTCCACATTATATCATGTAGGAGATTGAAGCCAGTAATGCAGATAAAGACACACATCCCTTGTGATTTCTGCTCTGCCAGCGCCTTGAATACCCACGTGGTTTCTCACTGTGGTGGAGGGACGTGTAGTGAATATGTGAGTGGCACAATAAATACCCAGAATATTCTCAGGTTTTCATAAATGAAATCTGGATTGTGACAGTCCAAGATCAGAGAAACAGAAGTAAATTTATCTTTCCTCTAATCAACAACTCATTGCAACTAGAGATGTGCATGTGGTCCTTGTATGTGCTGTACTCAGCATGTATAAAATGTATATGACATACTTATAAATAGAATAAAATGATAGCATCAGCTGATATTTTGTCCAGCTAACAAGCAGATTGTGTTAAACATCAGGGAAGAGACTTTCAACCATAGGAGCTAACACAGCTGATAAAAAAATTAGTAGGGTAGCTGAATTAAGGCCGTGGCTTCCTCCAGATAAATAACATATTGTGCAGATTACAGTGTGCCCATCCCAAACCCAGCTAAATTTCAGCTCAGAGCGAGTAATCACGGCGTTCTGTAACCCAGATACCATCCCTGCATTCAGTGAGTTAGAGCCTGCTTCTCTCCTTCAATTAACCACAGAGCAGTTTCTCTCCCTTTTTCTTTGTTTTGGAGAGAAGCCATTCTATTCATGTTCACTTCTTTTTAATGAGGTGCTTAGGAATTAAATGTAGTTCATAAATACAGGGTGATTTATTCCTGTGCTTTACCAGAAAAGAAGCTTAAGCTTGCATTCTAAAGAAAGCTTTTGGAAGTCCTGTTTTCAAGGATGCTTAGTGAAATAAGGTAAAGCATCCTATGGTAAGGCCAGAATGCATAGTGTGAAAGTGTCTTCCTGTAATAATAGAAATGGGACAATTAGTTATAAGGCTAAAATATTTTATCCTTATAACTGAGACTGCAATTCCTTGTAGTAGGAGGACTATTTTATGCTGAACTGAGTTCATGTGAACAATTAGAGGTGTCTCCATGGTTAGGAATAGAGCGTGCTAAGTGTTCTGTGGTGCTGATTGTCACAGTGTGGAAACGAGAGTGTTGCTCCCCAAGTAATGGCACACATCCCAGGCACACCTGTGGCACCATGGAGCATTTCCCTGCATTCAGAGGGGTGCAGAACTTAGGAACTGGTCAGTACATCCAATTTTAAAGGGTTGCAGTACATTAATAATTTTCCTCCTAGAGTTGAAGTGGTTTACCCTGATTTGCTTAAAAAAAAAAAGGAAAAAAATTAGCAGTGTCTGACACTGTTGATAATTTTTTCCATTAAGGGAATATAAGTGGAATCTCCAGGCATTTTCAAACACAAAGCTGGCTGACATTCCTAAAAAGACTAAGAACCTTTCCTTTCTAATGGTTTTAAAAGCACTCCCTTAAATGTGATCACGCAACACTCCCTCATTAGAGAGACTTTTACCTGATTAAATGCTCATCAACCTGTGAAAGTGTTGCCCAGTCAACTCTTTACCTAAAATAATTGTGAGCACGTGAACCCAGTAAAAGCCAAAAAGGGAAAACTTCTCTTGAAGGCACATCTGGGTGAAGCATCTCATTAGGGCTGTTACCTCCTGTCTTATTGGAGTGTTACATGTGGGAAATACCAGATGTGATGTGAGAGAGGGCTCGTGGAGATGCTGCCTTATATTAGTGAGTTACTGAATTCCAGAGATTCCTGACTGACACAGGAGGTGTAAAGCTTCTGATTTCCCCATCAGGGAGCAGGGAGAGAGGTGGAGGCTCCATGCAGGTGCTGGTGGAGAGGCACATACATCCTGTATTTAGGAAAACCAGCATGGCATGTAGTAGGGTCAGCATAGGAATTTTTGCAGACAAATGGCAGGAATCCCTTGTGGAAGTCAAATTCCCACATATTTCCAGCAAGGAGATCATGACTCAAGGGGAAAATCCAGGTTCTAGGCAAACCTCAGAGGATCACACCTTCCAAAGAAGAGCATTTTCAACAAAGAATTGATCCCCTGAGTTTTGAATATGTGATGGTTTCCTTGGCAGTTCTCCTCTGATTAGCAGCTATTCTCTGCATCCTCAGTGTGCCATTGCTGGCACAAACTTCCTCTGGTTCCACACCTACTAATTAGATCTTCAAATGTATAATTCTGGGGACATGAATAATTTTGAAGATGATAAGGAAGTTAATGCAGTGCTCCTGCATTGCTTAAGACCTTTTCAATACACCAAAAAGCATCTCCTACCGTAAGTGACAGGGTGACATTTTAAGTGTGTTCAGTTGATTGTAAAAACCCATTGCTGGTCTTGAAAGAAAGCAAGCAAGTGGGAACCACTGTTAAAAAGCAAATCTTTCTCTTTGGGATTGTTTTGAGAATTCATAGGTTTGGTTGTTTTTTTGGTTTTTTATTCTAGACATTACAAAATATGAATGTAGCTCAAATATAGTGCGATAAAAAAATGAGAAGTGTTGCTTGTGGCCTATTATAGTGGAAACTGTTGCACTGAAAAAATTTATTGTTTTGACCTATTTATTTCTCAGTATTTTTCATATTATTTATATATTGATATACATATAAGTAATTATATACTGTTTGTAGAAGAAATATATTTTTGAAAACTCTTCTTGTCTTCTCCAGTCATTTAGGCATTCTTTGAGTCACTTTGTACTGGAAATACTGCAGTTTGATTAATGCCCATTTCCCCCAAGAGTATTCTCCCTTCATCTTCTGTTCCCACCAGCCATTTCTAAGCACTCTAACCCAGTGGACAGCTGCACGAGTTTTTCACACACCATTAATCTCAGACCACAGCAGAAGTTTCAGCAGTGAAACAGTAATTTAGAGCAGCAAGTTACACACTGACTAAAGTGAAACACTGTGTTAAAAGCTTGGAATCTAGCTGCATACAGTAAATCTACACTAATACTTCTTAGATGCTTTAGATTAGCAGGTGCTCTAAACCCTGCTAGTTGTGCTCTTACTTCCATTTTATTGTGGATCTGCAGCAGAAGGGAGGGAGAGAATGCAAGAGCTGCCAGGTGTGTGCAGGAGAGGCGTTCTCGAGATTCCTGCTAGCAAACCTGCTGCTGGATGAATGCACTCGGTAGGAGCCGTTCTGTTCTGCAGATGAAGTCCATTATTTTAAAAGAATCCACTGCCAAGAAATCCAAAGGAGCATTTCCCTTGGTTATATAAAGGCAATGTTTCTTCCCTCTTCTTGAGTTTTGTTTACTGAATTTTTCTAAAGTGCCGTTTCCACGAGGCTTCAGGCGTGCGTTCATAAGGCGTCATGCAGACATGAGGCACCTCAACAGCATCACAGCTCTTCATCTGATGAGAATGAAACAATTCCACCCTCTAGAAACAGCCTCGGTGCTTCATCTCTCAGAGCATCCTCAGCCCTTGATCATAACTTTAGCCAAGGAATATTGATTTTCCACTGAAGGCTGTCATCTTCAGTAGTTTGGTGTATGCCTGGGATGATGAGCATGGAATGGCTCAGATGGAGCCTCCTTTTTCTTGTTCAGATGGGGTTTAGTGCTGACAGGTGATGGCTGATTTGGGTTGGTGTTTTGGTAGTGTGTGACATGAATTGGTGATCTCTGTGTGCTCCAGATCTGGTCACTCCCTTTAGAACATGACACAGACAGCCCACAGTGCAGTAAGGATAAGTAAGGATTTTTGCTGTTCACAGGGTTTAAATCATGTGAGTGATCTTCTTGGGCTGTATCATCAGAGGAGGGTAGAAGAAATGCCTGTTCCTTTATGGACAAGCCCTTCTCTTGGCTTCTTAAGAGAAACCCACAATGTCTGTGCTCATCTAACTTGACATTAATTAAGAATCAGTAAATTCATTAATTTGAGTAAAAGGCATGAAGGGCAGACCTCAAAGATGGTATTAATCCTTTATGAATGTATCCTCTTCCACACCTTTGATAGTGACACACTTTCATGTGTGGCCCTACCCCAGTCTCCAAGCTTCTGTAGAGAGGTGTACAGAGGAAATCTCCATCTGTCTTCACATAACTGGGGGTACTGTTGCAGACCAAATTTATGTCTTTGAAGACTTTTCATATAGAATCAACTGTGTTTCTTCAGTCCTGTGCTAATATCACTGATGTGTGCCTCTGTTCCCTTTCATCGTCCTGTAGGGTGGACAGTGTGGAGATGGATTGCAAGTCCGCAACCTCACGTGTGTAGTGCATGATGCATCAGTTTCTGCTACATCCAAACCAGTAGAAAATGCATTATGTGGTGAGCTACCATCAAAAGAAAGTGTGCTGGAGTTACCCTGCTCTGTGCCTTGCCCAGGTAAAGGCTTTGGAAGTGAATTTTCTGTCTGTGGTAGCTGTCTGAGGTGGACATGCTCCTCTAGTTCTGAATACTCGTGAGCACTTGTAGTACAAGTCTGTGCTTCAGCAGATCAGGTAAATGCTCAGTCTGCTGTTTCTAGACCACCTGAAAAAGTCTTTGTTTTTTGAGAAAATGAGATACCCCATGAAGCAGAAAATCCAAATATTGTGTACTACTGAGAGATATCCTAGAGGTATTTCACTATTAAAGCTGTTTATGCTTAGGTTAGCCTTACCCTTTAAGGCTAATTCTTTTGGAAAACCTGTGATTTCTTGTTTCAACGTGCAGGTGACTGCCACCTGACAGAGTGGTCAGAGTGGAGCTCCTGTGAGCTCACCTGCATCAGTGGCAGGAGCTTTGAGACAACCGGGCGTCAGTCTCGGTCCAGGGCCTTCATCGTCCAGTCTGCAGAGAACCGTGAGAGCTGCTCCGGACAGGAGATGGAAACACGGCCTTGCTCAGGTAGCTGGGCCTCAGCACTGCTTCCTGCCCGTCAGGAATTTGTTGTGGGTTTGTAGCAAGGCGTGAAGAGTAACTGGTGCTGATGTTACAGGAGGGAAGTGTTACGATTACCTGTGGCAAACCGGCCCTTGGCGAGACAACGTGCGCACGGTGTGGTGCCAGCGCTCGGATGGAATGAATGTCACAGGTATGTCCCCCAATGGTCTCACCCTTGTGAGTGAAATGGCTCCACAGAGGCTTTCCTGCTTCTGCATCTGTTGCTCAAAGGCATCTTTCCTTGCTCTTCCAGAATTTCAGTTTGGATCTTTGTGTGTAGGAAAGACAGGTGGGAGCTCACCAGCCTTGCTGTTCGCTCAGCATCACACACGTGTTTGGAGTATTTGGGCTAATTGCCCTTACTGTGGGCTGGTCATGGGAAGAAATGAGTGCACACATACTAAAGGGCTGGCTTGCACAGCCCTCAGTTCAACCTTTCTGTGGCTGTGAAGAGCAGAAGAGAACATCACACGCGTGGTAGAGACCCCATCTTCTGTACCTCCTTTTCAAAACACAGGAGTCTCAAATCACTCAAGCTGTGAGATTCCTGCTGTTGTCGTGACCTACAAATTCTGCCTGTGCAGGATGAAAAGGGAAATTCATGGTCAGAACTTTGAAGCTCCGTGAGAGATTGACAAAGGCAGTAGGGCTGCATATCCACAGGATCTCTTTCAATATGCACAGGGTAAAGGAGGAGAGAGTGGAAACAAAAATGCAGATGTTCATGTCTAGTTCTATTTATAATGACTAGTTAGGATAATAACAGAAATCTTATGTTCAAAGGTTGCCAAGTATTTAAGAACTCATTAACATGTTTTTATTCCTATAGAAGCACAGGCTTTCCCAAGTGAGGATGGGCAAGGGCGTTACGTGGATTATGTCTTTTTATGTAGATAAGCCATTAATGAGGACACAGAAGATCTGCATCTAATTCCAGATTCTGTCCCCAACTTCCTATGTGGCCAGTGGCAAATTGCTTAAATCTGTATATCTCTGTTCTCCATTAACAAGATGGGTATGATGATAATTCCCTGCCTTGTTAAGGCAAATTAATTAATGCGATGCCTACAGATATTATGCTAATATGCTTAATAGACTAGTATTTAACTATATAAAATAAGCAGGCAAGCACTTCTTTCACTGTGGTGATCTAAGGCAAAAACATTTTGAAAGATGCTCTTGAAGGCACTCAGTATTTTCTTTCCCAGGAGGGTGTCCTCTTCGGACGAAACCTGCTGAAGTCCGGCACTGCAGCCCAGCGTGCAGAAAACCCTTCTCCTACTGCACACAGGTAACTGCTCTCTGCAGAACAGGGCTGGGAAATCAACTCTGTGAGATTTAATCAATTAGATTGCATCTTAGATTGCATTCCGGGACTTGGAGAATAGTTTTGTTTGTCCGTGGTACCACCTCGAGGATGTTGTGGGAATTTCATCCTGAAAAGAAACTGTGAACCTGCACAAGCGAGTGATGGAGTATTTATGTGGTGTTGCAAGTTTGGGTTTGTTCTGTGGAGGGATTTTGGCTTTAATTTTCAAATTAGACCTCTTGGTTTAATTTTAGTTGAGTGCTGTTTCACTGTTCTTTAGAAAAGGGACTGTTTAAAACTTCTGTAAAAGAGTAGATAAAGGAGCATCAATCACATGTTTGGATCAAGGGTGTCAGACCCTCAGACATTATAGATGCAAGACAATCAGCAAAGGAAACAATGTTAAAAAGCCATTTTAAAATAGAAATCCAGAAAACTGAGTATGTATTTAGCAAACCACAGACTTCCAAATAAACTCTTGAAGATACTGTTTAATCTGATCCAGGGTAATGGATATTTGGTCATAAGAAAGCTATGAAATTTTGGAGTGGAAATATGTAAGGAGGGTTTGGGTCTGAAGGGGGATTGGTTTTGGTTTGTCTGTTCTATTGCCCAGCAGGGTCAGTGGGAAAATTGTTACTGACAAGAGGAGTTTGCCACAGATTCCTGTTGTTAAGCGTGTTGGGGTGAAAATGTTTATATGTTGGACTTCTCTGCAATTAATGACTCTTTTTCAACCAATTCCTCGAGTATATTTGGGGTTTTTGAAATGGGCTCGTGGGCACCAGTTCCTGGCTGCTTTGGTTTGGTGGTGGTGAATTTGTGTGTGCAGGTGAAGTTTGTTCAAGCTTTCCCAACAGTGTGCACTGTTCTGTGAGAGGGCACTGCTTGGTTTAATGCTGAATTCCCTTTTATCTCCCAGAGAGGAGTCTGCGGCTGTGAGCGGGGATATACAGAAGTAATGAGATCAGATGGGTTCCTGGATTACTGCGTGAAGGTACCAGGTTTAGAAGATAAGAAAGCTGATGTTAAGACCATTGCCGGAAAAAATAAACCTGTCAACTCCAAAATGCATGACATTTTCAAAGGATGGTCTATTCAACCTTTTAATCCAGGTGAAAAACTTAAATATGAATGGAATAGATTGTCTTTAGAAGGTTTCTGTAGAAGAAGGGTACAAGCTTTGTAGATGATCACATCAGAGATTGTGTCTGGGAGCTGCAGAGCGACCTCCCAGTTTCCAGCTCGTGTGCTGTCTTTCATGCCTTTGTGTCTGTGCAGAGGAATCACAATCTCTTATGTTGAGAGATAGCTAAGACAGAATGAAGCAATAATATTTTGCAAAAGTGTGCTCATATGTGATTTGGGGGCATGTTTAGAACTATTATCTGATGATGTTTCTGGAAGTAATATGTTTGGACTAGGAAAGGTATTGATCACTAGCGCTTCAGAAGTTTCAGAGAAAAAAGTGCTTAAGATTTCATTAAAAAAAACGTTGGTTGCTTCTTGCCATATTTCAAAAATATATGAAAAGAAAATGGTAGAAAGTGTACAGTTTAGTCTTGAGGGTTGAAGTTACAGCATTAAAAGCGTCCCACAAAGGCAGACAAGCTGCTGTGCCCAAGCAGCTCATCCCAGGTGGATCTTTGACATCCACAGCGTAAAATCTTTCCCAGCTGGAACCGCAGACTGCATGTGCCCAGACTGGAACATTGCTCTCATATGGGATTCTCATTTTGATTGTTTGTTTAAAGATGAATTAATTAAAAACAAATTTCTGAAATGCAAATAGGACTTTAAAAATCGGAAACAAATGGGTCAAGCATATCAGGTTTTACTGAAATGCATCTGTTCTCCTCGTATTATAAAATACTGGCAGTGCAGTTTTCCCCCCTTCTTCAGGTACCTGACATTGCATTTGTTTGCAATTATTTCCTAATGAACATGAGACTTTAGAAAACATGTAGTGAAAGGTTCTGTTAGGGGATTCAGGGAGCCATAATTCTGTCTGATATATGTGATCACACTTTGAATGTTACATTTACATATTTGATTTGCAGACAGTGGTTAACCTTTGCGTTGACAGTCTCTGGGCTCGTAGAGCTCAGTCCAAAACCTTTTAAATCTGGCTGCTTTTTGATCAAACCCTTCATCCAGTTCACCCACACAGTTCACCAGCAGTTTGAGTCACAGGTTTGGGGTTAATTGCCTCTTTGTCAACATCCCTGGCCCTCTGTAGATTGTCTTACTTGGGTGTCATCTTTTTGGCTGGTACTTTTAAGGGGTTAGAAAAAGGGAGGAGGTGTAGGTGGATGCTGCAGTCCTCTCTTTTTAAATCAGCATTTGAGTCTGCAGCACTAAAAGCTTCTGGAGGGCTTTACCTCAGTCCAGCACCTGTGAGCCAACTCTCACCCAAGGTCTGCAACAGAAACAGTGACTGAGACACTTTCACAGAACATGGTGTTGATTAATTTTAGGGCAGAAATGTTACAGAAACAAGATATGGGAAAGGAATAAAGGTGCTCCATGTGTGCTAAGTGTATCACCAAGCCTGTGGCATCCTGCAGTTAACTCTTCAATCTGTACACGCTCTTCCGACCCCAGCTCAAGGCTGGTGCTCTTCAAATCACTCCCCTTTGTCTAACTTCACAACAAAATGTGTAATTGCTCCCCTCAAAGAGGCTCCCAGGCTCACTGGTCTGGGGATTTGCAGTGGTTACTGCTGGCTGAGCCATCAAACCACTGTAACCTCCCCGTTCTGCCGTTGATAGCAGTGACAACAAGACACCACAAGCCCTGTGGTGAGGGCTGCCTGTTTGGATGGCATTTAACACCCTGCAGCACCCCAGTCCTTGACATTGGCTGGTCAATGAAAGTACCTGTGCTTTCTCCAGCTAACCTGTGGTTTCCCTTCCCATTTACAGTTTGGAACACTAATTTTATTTTGATTTAATGAGGCTGATGTTTTTGTTCTTCTAAACGCTCTACAGGAGTGCACAGAACTGATTTCAAATCAGGCTTTTTTCCTCTCTTAACAACACTCTGAGAGGCCAGAGTTCAGGTACAGAAACTTTTCTTCAACTTGAGAGGCAATTTAAATAGCATTGTTTAAATTGTCAGATGACATGGTCCAGTGCCTTTCTGCTGGGGATGGAGAGCAGAGCTGCCTTTGTAGCAGACATGCTGTGACGCCTTTATGGGGCTGTGACAGTCCCTTTGCAGGACTGCTAAATATTTCTTGGCCATCTCCAGATGAGAGGGCAGCAAATTTCATACCTAGACTTCAGCAAAATAACTCAAACAAACCAAGCCAGACCTGATGAACAGAGCTCTTCCCACATGGGAGATATTTTGAGGAGCAGAAAAAAATCTGTGAGAGGTACTCAGCCTTTCCACAAAGCCTGGAAGAAAAATGAGAAAGAATGGGATCTGATTAAATGTGTTTCCCTTTGAAAAAATTTGTCATTCAAACATAAAATGAAAACCAGGCTCAGTGATTGTCCCTCTCACTTGACTGAATTTGAAATGGCCTCTGTCAAACTACGTCAGTGGGCACTGCACAGGTTCCTGTTCCTGCCTCCAGTGTGTATTTGCAGCTCTGTTGATGTGAATCAGCTCAGACTGCTGCTGTGTGGAAAAGTACCAAACCTGCTCCCTACAAGGAAAGCTGTCCAGCCAGAAACAGAGCAAGGAACTGAAATACTCATCTTTCAAAAATTGCTGTTATTAGTAGTGCAAAGCTTGTAATTAAGGACCTGTCCCAATGAAGTGTTCTGAGACAAGGGAATGTTTGAAGAGACTCAAGCCCACATGTGCATGGAGGGGTTCCTGCAGGTGTCCTGGGTCACTACAGCCCAACCCACAGCCTTACCTTGTTTAAAGCCAGTTTTGTCTGCTGCTCCTGTGGCCCAACCAGAGAGCTCTTTCCCAGCTTTATCCCTCTTACTGTTAAAATGCCTGTTCTTGTTTTCATTCTAAGCTGGATTTATTCCCATTTGCTGGCCAAGTGTTTCCCAGTTCTAAGCAGCTTTTCCACTCGTGCTTGCTGGTGTTTACCCCAACTGACCTCCAAGTGTTTATGGAGAACAATCCCAGCCCTTCTCAGCCCTCAGCTAAACACATCAGGTGTTGCCTGTGTCTGGATCAGCTCAGCACTGAACTGCCTCTGCCAGAGCAGCCACTGGGCTCTGGAGGGAATGTTCCCCAGTTATTCTGTGCCTCTTCCCCCTTTCCATTAAAATCTTGTCTATAAAATCAGGGATTTTTTTCAGAAATCTTCCTTGCTATCAAAAATATGAGGTTTATGAATTACTCCCAGGCAATCCCTGATGTGCTCCCCATCAGTGATGATACTGATTTCTCTTCAACTGATCTCTTAAAACTTGGTGTGTTTTAGAATAAAGTTTTTTATTCTTTCCTTTTCTACCTCTGTTCTTTTTCCTCGTCTTCCAACAGATGGCAAACTGAAGATATGGGTATATGGAGTATCAGCTGGAGGGTTCCTCATCATTGTTTTCCTGATTTTTACATCCTACCTGATGTGGTGAGTATGGCAGGTATTCTGTCCTTAAATAAAAGCTAGTTTGTGTTTATTTACACAATCCAAAATACATCACAACTCTGCATTGCAGGCATTTAATGCTCAAAGCTTCAGGATAGGATTGGAGGTTCGATTACCTAAGTGCCTTTGTTTGGCCCCTACCTCGGAGTAATTAAAACTCTCCAGATTGTAAATGTTAACAGCCATTATTGTGAAGAAGTTTGGTGGCCATGCAGGGAAAGAATTATTTTTGGTTATCAATAGGCCCTTATATTTATTCAGACTTCTGCTGGGATTAGAAAGGGGTTTGATTGTATTCTTCAAAAAAAAGATGAAGTAAAACTGAAGAAAGGCAAGGAGAGTGATTGGAACAAGGAGCTGGCTTCTGCTCAAGGAAGGACTAAATAGAATAGGGACATTCATTTGAAAAATAGTGTTTGATGTAGGAATACAGTAGAGATCTATGAAATCATAAATGGGGGAGAAAAGGGTGCTATTGAATTTTTATCTCCCACAATAAAAGAAGTAGGAGGCATCTGATTAAATGGTCGTTTAAAATAAACAAAAGGTATTATTTTTCACACAGTGCATTATTACCTTGTGAGCTTGCTGCTGCCAGGGCTGTGCATGCCAGAAAGATAAATGGATTCAGAGATGGCATGAGAGTTCATGGAAGATTGGGTCTCTTGGTGTTAATTGTGGTTTTTTGGCTGTTCGCTACAGCTCAGAAAATCCCTAAATAGATTTTTGCAGTGAATACATCAGGCCTGTGTCTAAAGCTGCTCTTAACAGCCATTGTTAAGGACAGGGTAGCAGGTCTGCACCCTTATTCCAGGGGCTCCTGGGTTTTGCTGGGGGTGAGGGGTGTTTGCTCTCCTCCAGGCAGGGGAGCTGAGCCCAGCCTGACAGAGCTCGCCTTGCTCTCCCTGCTTTGAGTATTTGGAAAGGCACTGCCATTGGTGCCTCTGGGAGGACAGAAAGGGAGAAGTGGGAAGCATCCAGGTGTCCTGCAATTCCCAGGATTTGGCCTGACTTTACAAACACTCATGGTGCAATCTGGCCCAAGCCCTCACCAATCAGGGCAGGCAACCAGAGAGTCACAGCCCCACCTGACAGCATCACTGCCCGCTTTCATCCAACAGTTTATTCCCTTTCACTCTCTCAGGCTTTCTCTCTTCAGTTAAAAGCTCAAATAACAGCTTAGGAACTGCAGCTCCCTTATTTTCCAAGCCATGTAGCTCCATTTCTCTGTAGCTTCACAGCAGAGGATACAGAAGATTTTTTTAATAACATTACACACTTCTCCATCATGCTGAGGAAATGCATTTCTCAATAATAATTATTGTTGCTTCAATACCATGCCAAAGAAAAATGAGAATATCCCACTCCCAGACAGCTCATATTCCAGTTTTTCTGTGAGGTGTTCCTTGTTTTGTCAGCTGTGAGAAGAGACAGGAGATGAATGTGCTTTATTTCCTCTTCAGATGGGGAGCACTGCTGGCTGCCCCTTTCTGACAGGCTGTGTGTCCATACCACACACATGAGAGCACCAGAGGGGCCATGTGGTGTCACCCAGTTACAGCATTCAATGGCCACCTTGGAAAGTTGATTTTTTAAATTGAAGTTTGGGGATTGATGATGTTTCTGAGCTTGTTACAGTTTGTAATTTTGTCTTCTGAAATGCTTTTCTTGCAGCAAAAAAACAAAGCAGCATCAAAGCCCTCCACCACAGCAGAAGCCTCTAACCCTGGCCTATGATGGAGACATTGATATGTAACATAAACAAGAAATCCAAATGTAGACATCGACTGCCTTAACTGCTTTCTTTTTTGGAACTCTCTGACTTCTCAGTTTTTTGAGGAATCTCCTGATGTATAATATCCTGGGCAGAACAGAAGTATTGCAAGCTGAAAATTTTGCCACCTCTTTATTAAAAAAAAAGTGGAATAAAAAACTTGAATCTCATGATACTTTTCTGAAGAGACCAGACCCTTCCTGTTGAACAATGGGAATAACAAGAAAAGAGAAAATCTACAGACATCAAAAGGAATTTGTTAAAATAAAAAGGCATGACAATCCCAAGGAAATTGTGACATTTACTGTAAATGACAAGTTTGACACAGCATCATTATGCACTATATTAGTGCAGGGTTCTTTATTCTTCACATACTTCAACAATGAGTTTTCTAGTGTTTACATTTCGTTCAAAGACTTTAAAACCAGATCATGTATTTTGAGAAATGCAAGGAAGAATGAGTTGAAGTGTCTGAAGTTACCAGGTTTTTTAAAGTTTCTTCCTTCTTATCCTGTTTTCTAGTCTGGAATATGATTTTGCTTCATTTCCACCTACAGGACAGAATAAGGATTGTTATGAAAACGCATAGGTGGTTTCTTAACCAAGAATATTTTCTAAAGAGCTGAGTAGATAGGTGTTTTGATGAGTGGCTAGAGGATTTGATTGTTTAAAAAGGATTTTAAATTAAATTAAACCATGTAGATACATTATGGCCAATTTAAATTGTTATTCAGTTTAATTAAAACAAACTCTGCTTTTGTATTTAAATTTTCTTATCTGAAATATTTATAAATTCCTTTTTTTGAATTTAATTACCTGACCTCATTTAATATACATCAAACACAAATGCAGTTTGTAGAAGGTCTTGCTTTTTTAAATGTTTCAGAACCACTGAGAAGTTACATGTAAAATTCTGGGAACATTTGAAGAGGGTAAGTGTTTATAATAGTGTGTGTTGCAAGTAAGAAAGTGCCATCTTGTGGTATTGACTTGTATTTATAAGCAAATAAAATGCTAAAGAGAGTGAGAAAATTGCTTCTGGTATGTTGAATTAAATGTGTGTAAACAACTTGTATTATTAGTCATTTACTGTGTCTGAGATTGGCCTTGGATTTCAAACTCCTCTGGCATTATTTTGTGCTGCAGTGATTAGTGAGAGAAAGAGTACAGACAAGTACCAGTAGAGAGAATAATTGCAGGTGTGGAGAATTCTTGGTCTTATTTTTAACTCAATGCTGCTGTTGATTCCAATAATCAGAAGAGAAAAAGAATTGTCACCAGCCCAGCACCTGTCTGGTCCTTCTCCACCCAAAGGTACCTGAATCATCACAACAGATGGGTATGGCTGGGGCAGAAGGCATTGCTCATCTGGTCATGTTGCTATTCACTGCTTTGTGAACTGGTTTGAATGTTATGGTTTTATATTAAAAATGATGGAATTGTAGATAGGCTTCCTTCCCTAGGTCAGGATCCCACCCACTCAGCATTGCTCCTGCAGCATGGAATTGAGATGGCATTGTGCCACTAAGGCAGGGTCTGGAGTGTGCTTTTCTCTTGCCTCATTACAAAGAAAGGCTGATGGGATTGTGAGGGGAAATTGACTCAAGTGTTTCTGGACCTGAAGTTGTTCTGCTGGCCCTGCTTTCCATCTTAGAGCTATAACTGCTTATGGAATATAAAGTAGGATCTTTCCAGATGTTTCCTGGTAACATTGGGGTCCTAAATCTTTTTTCAGCAGCGCCCTGTACCATTGAGTAACATCTATAGAGGAAGAATTACAAAGGGAATAATGATCTGGTGCTATTAGGAGCAACACTGACAGATCTTAATATATTTTGTCTGTGGGACACCATGTCAGCAGAGTGGCACTCTCTGAATAATGAAGGAATAAGCTCCGTTGAGTATGCTGTTCAGCAAGGCATTGGAGTGGGAAAGTTGGTGTAATAACAGCAAAAATGACAGCTGGAGCATGTGGTCATTGCCCTCAGCATCAGGGTAAATTACAATCCAAACTGTGATGAAGAGAAGGCTCTGGGGAGACCTCAGAGCACTTGCCAGTGCTTAAAGGGACTCCAAAAGGGAGCTGGAGAGGGACTTTGGACAGAGACATGGAGTGACAGGACAAGAGGGAATGGCTTCAAACAGGGCAGGTTTAGATGAGATATCAGGGTGGTGAGGACGTGGCACAGGTTTTCCAGAGGCTGTGGCTGCCCCTGGAAGTGTTCAAGGCCAGGCTGGATGGGGTTTGGAGCAGCCTGGGGCAGGGGAAGGTGTCCCTGCCCACAGCAGGAGGGCAGACCTTTAAGTTCCCTTGTGACCCAAACTGTTCAGTGACTCAATCGTTCCGTGTCCGGTGCGGGAGACGTCAGATCCCGGGGCAGGTGAGAAGCTCCAGGTGGATCACTGCAAAGTGTGTTCATATTGAGGAGATGGATCTGGGGGTGTGGTGCAGTCTGGTGCCCCTGTCCCACTCTGTGTCCCCTAGTGCACCCTCTGGCCGAGAGGGACTGGCCACGGTTCCCGCTGGGGCTGAGCGCTGCTTGCGGAGCCAGGGCTCGGGGTTGGTGCATGGGGATGAGGCACAATCTGCTGCAGAGCTGTGGCAGTTCAGTGGTGCCCTTTAGGGATTTGTTCAGAAATGCCCAGGAAATGAGTGCACCTGTTTGACTTGGTAAAATAAAATAAAATAAAATAAACCAGCAGGGAAGGCTCGTGGGGCTGCTGCTGTTGGAGGCTGCTGGCTGCGCACCGTCTGCCGGCACGTACGGGAATCCGTGTCTGCTCCTCGTCCAGCTTGGACAGCATGGTGATTCAAATGTCACAAGGTAATTGCATGTATTTGATAATTTGGGATTGAATTAAGCTGTGAAATTGAACCAGAGGCCCTGCAGGGTCCATGAGGCTGAGAATGCAGCACAGTGCAAAGCCAGGAGTCGGTTGCCTAGCCAGATGCCAAGGTTATTACGCTTTGTAAGAGCCCAGGATATCCTGCTGGGGGGGATTCCCAGCCTCCTCTGGGGGCACTGGATTCAATGCCTGCCTTTCATTTTCCAAAATGAGTCATGACATGGAGAAGGAATTACTCCCAATTCTTGCCTATTTGGGATTTCTAGACTTTCTGCTGAAGTATCTGGAGCTGGTGCTGTCCCCTGCTGAAGATGGTACAGAGGTCTTGATTCCTCAGGAAGGAATTTTTCTACTCCCAGCTCGGGCATCCCATCAGCACATGTATGTGTTGTGTGATTGTGAGTGAAAACTTCTGTGGGTGAAGAATTTCTTCCTGATACCTAATCTAAATTTACCTTCTTCAAAGCCATTCTCTCTTGTCCTATCACTCCACGCCTCTGTCCAAAGTCCCTGTCCAGCTCCCTTGGAGTCCCTTTAGGCACTGGAAGGGGCTCCCAAGTCTGCCTGGAGGCTTCTCTTCTCCAGCCTGGGCAACCCCAATTCTTTTAGCCTTTCTCCACAGCAGAGGTGTTCCAGCCATCTGGTTGTATTTTTTTTCTAAATGTATAATGTAATTTTCACTTGTGAGTGGAAGAAGAAATGTTGTTTAAATGCACTTGTGAGTGGAAGGAGAAAAGTAATTTAAATATAATTTTAAGTCTTGTTTCCAGCTGGGAGGTCATAGTGTGGAAAAAAATTACCTCACTCAGGACTTTCTGAAAGATGGGTCAGGCTACCTGATGTATTAACGTGCCTCAGGACAGATTATGGTTCTGTCTGGTTTAAAGTGTAATTTAAATGAATGAACTCCCTCGTCTTACAGCTGTGACACGCACCTGTCCTGGACAGGAGCTTGATTTATATCACCTTTGTGAGGATCTATCTGAGCCCAGGCTGTTACGTGCCATCCATATGGATGTGCTCCTTGATTCCCGGAGCCACGACCCGGCAGGTGACTCTGTTCCTGTCACTTAGCTGCTGACATGACTTGTGCCACCAGCCATGCCATTAAGCTATTGAGATGTCACACCACCTGATCCCCAGTGCTCGTGACGGGCTGTGCCTCCTGCTTCTGTCAGACGTGGAAGATGAAGGAAGTCCCAGGTAATTCCTCCTGGCCTTTTCTGCCAGGTGCAGCTGCAGGGATGGGGTGGGACGTGTCACACGGTTCTTACTGCTTGAGGAAGTTGTACAGCTGTGGGGCTGCCTTAGAGAAATCTGTTTGACCCATCAGGATAACCAGGACTAGAAACGTGAGAGTGAAAAAACCCGAGGCGTTGGCGTGAACTGCCGCCGGATAAATGGAACCGTGCACAGCCACTCCTTGTTCCTGCCTGGCAGAAATGAAAGAAGTGTCCTGCTGTGAAATCTGATAGCAAGGGACCCCACTCTGCCTGGGAACAGGTTATTAGCCACGCTTTGTGATCTGGTTATATTTACATTTAGGGAGAGAGGAGTAGATTTGAGTGAATACTTAGAGCAGCAATCTCGGCGACGGGGATGCTTTCTGCCTGAATTTTTAATGTGTGCCCTTTCATCCCACAAGCTAGCAGAGTTTATTCATATTTTTAAATGTAAACCAGTGGTAAAATGGTAACATATGGAATGTCTGAGAAAATAACCTAAACCCCCATATTTGCAGACATTGGTAATTATGTACATTTGCTTTGATTACATGTTTTGTTACAGTCATGGTGGGCTGTAGGCAGACACACAGATTAAAGCAATTTATGGGATTTATCCTGTCTGTGAAGAGATGTTTTGATGGAATGAAAATCAGATTCAGTTTCTTCCAAGAAGAAAAAGTGTTACCATTCTCCTCTGCTTCATGGAAGTTCACCTGCACGTTATAAATGTTGGGGTTGTCACACAGCAGCATGACATTTGGAAAAAACTCCTCAGACATAGTAACAGTGAGTAATCTTTCAACAGCACGTGGGTGAAGTGGAGCACCCAGCATTCATTTTGCAGATGAGGAACATGGCATTCATAATTTTCTACTTTTTGGGTGCAATCTGGCTCCTACCCCTTGTGAGCAGGCTTCAAGTATCTTTTCTTGCAGCAGTGCCTGAGCAGATGTAGCATCAGGCAAACCCATAACTGAGGTGGCAGAGAAGGGATGTACCTGGTCTGAAATCAGTAAACAATCTTACTGACTTCATTTAGACCATTCTTACATTGTTATCTGCTGCCTCCTTAGGGGCTCCTTAGAGGTAGACTCCTTTTCCACCTTCACTGAGCTTTGTGAATATGAGTGCATTGATCCTGAAACACCTCATGTGGCAAATTAAGTGATTTAATTACACAATTTGTGTTTGGTTTCTATATTACAAGTTAATTTAGCTCAGAGACTGGATTAGAGATGAACATCCCAGAAATTGACAGGTCAGACCAGCAAAAGATAAAAATGTTCCCTGAGAAATATCATCTATGGCTGCTCTTCTGTAGTGGAAGAGTTGAGCTTCTTGGCTTGTGTGCACTGGGAACACCAAGTATATCCAAATTTATCTAAGTGAAGTACTTGGGGTGTTCCTGAGGATGGGAATCTGGGATTATTTCACTGATGGGATGCAACAGAGATTTAATTCATGGTCACCCGTGCTTTGAGAAAAGCATTTGTGTCAGTTGACATCTGTGTTTTTCCTGTTAATAGCAGATATTTTAAATCATTCCTCTGATGGAACAGAAGCCTTGTCCTGCAAGCAATTGAAAACAGGGCTTTGGAGAAGGGATTCCACTGTGACAGAGGGCTTTTCTTCCAGCACACACTACACAGAACTTGTGGGTGTTGTAGCACAGCTGAAGCACCAGTGAAGTGTTTGTTTTGAGAGATGGAAGAAGGACATTTGCTAGAACCTTGTCAGTGTGTATGAGCCATCCCTCCCAGTGACAAACATGCTGAGGGGCTGCCAGGGAGAGTCACAGCAGAGCCAGGTCATACCAGGGCAATCTACTTGTTTCCTCTAATGGTCCCACACCACCTTTTTAACTGGGTAAACCACTTCATCTCCCAGTGTCTGACAGTCCTGGGGCAGAGAAAATGGGCTTTTATAACTCAGTACTGTCCTGGCTGTGGTTTGTATTGCAAGGGGCTGTGCCTGATGGGCTGAGCAGAGGAGCATCAGACACATACATCTC